GAAATCCCTTATTTTAATTAAGTTGATAATCATTCCTCTTTTTTTTCCTCTTGGGAGACAGTCCATTTAATCTACTTTATTCTAACTAAGTTATGGACCAAGTATATTACTAAATATTCTTTCTAAACTTGTATTTTAAAGTTCAAATTCAAGAAAATACATGAGCAGTTCCAGTTATATAAAAGCACTGAGAATGAATTTAGGGAACAATAAGAGGAACTGAAACTTTTCTGTTCTTGGAAAGACCATGTAAGTCAGGGGTGTCAAACTCGATTTCATTGAGGGCTGCGTCAGCATTGTGTTTGACCTCTGGGGGGGGGGAAGAGGAGGTGTGGTCAGGAAGCATGGCCAGCTCAACGTCACTCATGTTGTGGGTGCCTGTGGTGGTCCAGGTGCTCTGCCAGCGAAAATGGGCTCCCAAGCTCCATTTTTGCTGGCAGAGGCACCATTGGCCGGTCCTTTGCTGTTTCCAGGGTGGCCCCACAGGCCAGATCTAAGCACCCATAGGCTGGATCCGGCCCCTGGGCCTTGAATTTGACACCCCTGATGTAAGTCTTTGTGGCATTTGCTACTTCCCCAAGACTAATGCATAGTAATTAAGAATGCTCAAATTATTTATGAGTGGAAGTTCTGTTTCTGAGAGTGCAAATATGCATTACTTAATTTAAAAAAACTGACCTTTATTGACAGTATTTGAGATGGAAGGATATGCCCTCAGGTAACCTAACGGTAAGATTGGTTTTCATGTTGCTTTTTTTAGCGTAAGCATTGTTATTTTTGTTGTGAAACAGATATTCAGGTTTGTTCAGTTCTTAAGAGCCTTCTTTACTGATACCAAATTAGAATACTTAGCTTTGGAATGGTTTAGGTTTTGAGAACTTGCAACATAAATTTATTGTATATGGGCTATTATATGTTTATGGAGATTCTCAGTCATCCAGGTCATGGTTGTCCCAAAGGTGCTGCTTCAAAAGGCAACTGAACTTCAGTTCGTGAACTGAAGAAGCTTCTTGGATGAGAAGCAAAACATCTTCAAGGAAAAACAAAGTCCAGTTGCCTTTTGAAAAAGCACCTTTGGGATGAGGTATGTAATTGACAAGTTATAGTTGATGCACAATATGGCAGTGAGTTTGCATAGTTCTCGCAGGCCCTTTTTCATTCGTTTTTGAGGCCTGTTTTGATCTATTATGTTCAAATGGGACCTTAGAAGAAAACCTTTTACCTCATAACTATCTCCTTTAAGGTTACTTGCAGTTGTCCTTCAATCTGTACTTTGGAATGTAACTACAATGGACAGATATTTATTGTTTATAGAAGTCTTTGAGAAAGGTTAACCTGATACCTGCTCCTTTCAGTTCTAGACCAAGATACATATTAAACGCCATATTAATTAACTTATTAATTTTTAATGATAGTAATTGGTTGTTTTTCATTTTTAGAGACCTGTTTTAGCTCTATTTTGTTACTGACTTTAATGTTAGCATTTCCTTTTATTTTGGAGTCAATTATCTTTTATTGTTTTATTTTGTATTCTGTATGTGTCTTGAAGAATTCCGTTTTATAAAATGACACCATTATGAACAAATGCATTCTAAATGATTACATTCACTCTAGTTATTTTCTTTGGAACTTATTTTTCCATTTTTTGCTGACTACCTTTACATCAGCCATGCTCATAACAGTTTATCAGTTATAATTTGCTCCATTTGGTTAGTTTCTTTTTCATTCATTACTTTTACTCTATGGGTTTTTTTAGTAGTGGGTCTGCCACACTCAAACAGGACAACCAGGGGATTATTCAGAAGTTCTTGCTTTTTCCTATATTTGCTGGCAGCACTGTTTTTAATCTCCCCGTAATCAGAATTGTAATAGTAGATTTTAAGGAAAGGGTTAGCCATCTGTAGAAGAAATGTAAGATTGAGATTAGACCTCAGGGGAAGATTAGTTTAAAGGACTGCTTTAATTCAAACCTAATCCCAGTTCAAGCTCTCAAGGGTCACACCCAGATTTAGGGAGTAAATCACAGATTGCCAGGCACTTAAACCTTATTTCACTCCTCAGCTAGTCTTAGCAAAAGACTTCCAGACAAGAATCAACAAAATTAGAAAGGTTATTGCATGCAATAATGGAACTTCAAATACAACAGTTGATTGTCCACTGTAGTGCATAGAGGACAGAAATTTATATAGCTTTAGGGTTGAATTCTTCCTCCTTTCTTCTGAATTAACAGATTCCTAGCAGGATGTTCAGAAGTAATTGTGATATGCTTATGAAATGGTTGTCTTTACCCTGGAATAATTGGGTCCTGCCTTAGCAGTTTCAGTCCTGTCGATACCTAATTTCTCACTGCATGTAAACATCTCTGTGATTTAGACATAGTCCTTGGAGTATGATCATTCATTCAGCGACCATTCAAAGTTATGATGGCACTGAATGAAGAGACTTATGACCTTTGCTCAAAGTTACAATGGATATAGCAAACCTGTGTGGGTTTCACTTACCTTTGCTACTGGTTCGCTCGTGCTTGCTTCACTCACGTATGTGCCACTTCTGCACATGCACAGAGCGTATTTGATGGTGGGTGGGAGGAGCCTCCCGCCGCCGCCGCTACTGGTTTGCTTGAACCGGGGTGAACCAGTAGCAACCCACCACTGGGTCAAAATTCCAAATGACCAAAATTCATGCACTTGGCAGCTGAGTGATTGATTGTAAGTCAAGGACTACTGGTACCTGTAAGCTTCTCATATTCTCAAGTGAGGAAAAGATGATGGAAGATGTGACAGTAAACAAATAGGATAGCAGCTTTATATCCATTCCTGTCATTTAAAGTGTTTAAAGAATAGCAGTTATTGTTATATCTGTCAGTTATCTTAAATATTATAATTGATTTCCAGAATTGGGTGGAGCAGAATTGTACAGTGATCATAGATATCAGTGTGGATAATAGATAAAGAAACTGGTTAAAATATTATTTTAAAAAGTCTGTTAAATTCAGGTCCATTAAAATAGCCAAGAATGAATGAAAAAAACAGAAAAAATTACTCCTACTGTACATGCCAAGCAAAAGAAGCAAATATAAATATTACAAAATGTATATCAATTTAATGTATACAACATAAAACAACATGCAATTTTTTTCTGTCTGTCTATCTATCTATCTATCTATCTATCTATCTATCTATCTATCTATCTATCTATCTATCTACAGTTGCAAGAAAAAGTATGTGAACCCCTTGGGATTACATGGAGTTTTGCATGAATTGGTCATAAAATGTGCTCTAAACTTCATCTAAGTCACAACAATAGAAAAACACAGTCTGCTTAAAATAATACTACACAAACATTAGATGTTGCCATGGTTTAATTGAATATAATATGTAAACATTCACAGTGCAGGGAGGAAAAAGTATGTGAACCTTTGGACTTAATAACTGGTTGACCCTCCTTTGGCAGCAATAACCTCAACCAAACGTTTCCTGTAGTTGCAGATCAGACCTGCACAACGATCTGGAGTAATTTTGGACCACTCCTCTTCACAAAACTGTTTCAGTGTAGCAATATTCTTGGGATATCTGGTGTGAATCGCTCTCTTAAGGTCATGCCACAGCATTTATATCGGGTTGAGGTCAGGACTCTGACTGGGCCACTCCAGAAGGCGTATTGTGTGCTGTTGAAGCCATTTTTTTGTTGAATTACTTGTATGCTTTGGGTCATTGTCCTGTTGCATCACCCATCCTCTGCGGAGCTTCAGTTGGCGGACAGATGGTCGTACGTTTTCCTGCAAAATGTCTTGATAAACTCTGGAATTCATTTTCCCATCAATGACAACAATCCGTCCAGGCCCTGAGGTGGCAAAGCAGCCCCAAACCATGATGCTGCCTCTGCCATGTTTTACAGTGGGGATGAGGTTTTGATGTTGGTGTGCTGTGCCTTTTTTTCTCCACACATAGTGTTGAGTGTTCTTCCCAAAAAACTCAATTTTGGTTTCATCTGTCCACAGTATATTTTGCCAGTAGTGCTGTGGAACATCCAGGTGCTCTTTTGCAAACTTCAAATGTGCTGCAATACTTTTTTTGGACAGCAATGGCTTCCTCCGTGGTGTCCTCCCATGTACTCCATTCTTGTTTAATGTTTTCCTTATTGTAGATGTGTCAACAAAAATGTTAGCATGTGCCAGAGATTTCTGTAGGTCTTTAGCTGACACTCTAGGATTCTTCTTTACCTCATGAAGCATTCTGCGCTGTGCTCTTGCAGTCATTTTTACAGGACAACCACGCCTAGAGAGAGTAGCAACAGTGCTAAACTTTCCCCATTTGTAGACAGTCTGTCTTACCGTGGACACATGAACATCAAGGCTTTTGGAGATACTTTTGTAACCCTTTCCAGTTTCATGCAAGTCAACAATTCTTGATCGTAGGTCTTCTGAGAGCTCTTTTCTGTGATGCATGGTTCACATCAGACAGTGCTTCTTGAAACCAATAAACCCAAAACAGGTGTGTGTTTTTAAAGGGCAGGATAGCTGTCAGCAACACATCCAATATCATCACACTGATTGGAGTCAAGGTTGGCTCACTTCTGGCTCCAATTAGCTCTTGGAGAAGTCATTAGGCTAGGGGCTCACATACTTTTTCCTCCCTGTACTGTGAATGTTTACATGTTATGTTCAGTTAAACCATGGCAACATCTAATGTTTGTGTAGTATTATTTTAAGCAGGCTGTGTTTTTCTATTGTTGTGACTTAGATGACGTTCAGAGCACATTTTATGACCAATTCATGCAAAACTCCACGTAATCCCAAGGGGTTCACATACTTTTTCTTGCAACTGTATCTATCATCTATGTTTTAAATTACCATCTTTCAGTAACGTGTAATCCATGCCAGATTGTAGCTTAATCTAAAAAATTCCTGGCAAAAGTGATTTAATATATTGAATGTAGGGAAGAACATTCTAAAAGCATATACGTTTTGATCTTAATATTTTCCTTCTCCGTTTTGTTAGGACCACCGCTTTAATGACAAGATCGACAAACTGACAGGATACAAGACCAAGTCATTGCTCTGCATGCCTATAAGAAACAGCGAGGGTGAAACCATTGGAGTTGCACAAATGATAAATAAAAGTCCTGGAGGTATTCCTTTTACTGATGATGATGAAAAAGTAAGATTTTCTGCCCTTTTTGTTTGATAATATGGAAAAGATCTCTTACGTAGTTAGTCTTATCTTTTTTCCTTGATTCTTATTTTATTTCATTTTATTTCTTTGTAAACTACCCAAAATTATTGTGTAGACAGACAGCCTTAAAATTGGGATATTAAATTAGAATTAAATTATTTAATAGCCAGCCGTTAAGTCATCACTTATTTGTTGAAATTGTTTTATTCATTAACAATTACGAATTCTTTGTACACAAAGATCAGGCATGAATGATTATAATAAAATATGGTCCTCAAATGGAACACATTTTGTAAAATTTTACATATATCTGTAACAGGCCTTCATATATATATATTTATTATTTTTCTTTCTTTTTTCTTTTTCCATTATTTTCTTTTTTCTTTTTCTGTCCTTCTTATTTAAAGAAAGACAGCATTTACAAACAGTCACTCAATAAACTGTTCTTCCAGAGATATCTAAATTAGACAACAACCAACATACCTTTTGACTTTTACCTCCCAAATGATAACCAGAGTAAGAGAAAACCATTTTCTGGGTGGAGATAGCAGTGACAACAGCAGCCACAGATTACGTAATTCCTTTTTATAATACATTTTTAAAAAATTAAATTCACAATTCAAGAGCAATTTTCAATGGAATTTTAGAGGTATACCCAGGTGCATCTAGATCAGTGGACTTCAAGAGTTCCAAGCTATCTGTCCTAGATCTTTCAGGACAGGAAAGGATGTCTAGGAAATGTTATTATTAAAAAAAGAGAAATGAAAAAGGATGCACATATAGAAATGAATCAGAAATGGAAATCTGGAGATATTTCTGTTTTAATGGTATATTTTGCTTGGATAGTAATATAATTTCTTAATGAACATCTTAATTAGTATCAGTAACCAGATCCCACTGAAAGTATGCATGTGTTTATGAAGACTGAAAATGTTTCCTCATATCACTGTTCTGTTCTGTTTCTTTGCTCCCTTGAAATGAAAGCTTAATTTGGAACAAACCAGTGAAATTTGGGTACACTAATTTCTTTGCACATGTTTCATCCTCCCTTTAGAGCATTTAAGACATGGTCTTACTGTTGTGGTAAGAGCATTACAATCATAAATATTTTTTTAATTAAAAATACACAGTTTAATAGCAAAATGTACGCATTTAGGTCTTACAAGAAACAAATATTTAACAGAATTGGATGAAGAGTTACTTAAAGTTATTATATTCTGAGTTAGCCCTCTGAAAAATAGGGAGAGGATATTGATTTTCTATTTTTAGTATGCTGCAATAATTTGTATGTAATTATAACAATCTCAGATTGTAATGCAATCAGGTGTCCTCACTTTATTACTACCCATAATCTCTTTGCCCAAATTTTCAGTGATACTAGTAGATGAAATCATTAAGAATATATATTTTTTTCAAATTGCATCATGGTATTTTCAAGAGCTTCAGGGAATAAATAAGAATTGAGTATGGTTCTTTTTATGGCTTCCTATCACTGTGGAGGACCAGTCGAGCAATGGAAATCATGCTGATACATAAAAGAAAAGCTGCAGTGGCAGTGTGGGGATACTTTTAAAGTAATGTGTTTTGCAATTATATGCCTTAAAAATGGAATTAATCAATTGGTAGAAAACTAATGGATTTACTAAACATAAACTTAACACATTTTGCAACAGAAAGTCAGTACTTCCCTGGGTTATAAAATTGGAGATTTGTTCGCTCTCTGTATGTGAACTGGCTCTTTATCAACATAATGGAAAGATCGATTAATATTATTTCATGTGGATAAGGTTTAATGCATTTTAAAAACTAAGTTTTTTTAAAAAAAATTATTAAACTTTTTTTAAAAACAAAAAGCTTTGACACTTTTTCTGTTTCAACAGTTTTGCATCTGTCAAAATTTTCATAGTTATACATTTTTTCCTCCCTTATTTCTACTATATCTTTTATATATATATATATACTTCTAGTATTTATTTATTTATTTTACATATATACATAACAATACCTGTGTACCCACTAGATTTTTGTGTACAAGTTTTGTCTTTATTTTTTCCTTTCGTTTATTTTTATTTTGTTTTAGATTTCCTATCTTTTAAAAGACCAACGCTATGTTCACCTATTCAAGAGGCACATGGCTGGCTTAGTGGGTGAGAAAGTTAGACGCTGGCTTATCAAACTTTCCATAGTGAGAATCAAAGTCCTATAAACATTCATACTCTTTTGCATACAAATCAGGAAAAGGAGAATGAACAAGTTGAGTAGATAACATATTTATGTGTATTGGATGAATCAGTGCAGTTGCTTCAAGTCAGAACTATCAACTTCTGTAGTTATATTTTAATGCCAATGCAGATTGCAATTGGAATGATTATATGTTGATATGTAACTATGCTGGTCTGAGCTCCATATAGTTTGCCCCAGCTTTAGAGCTCTTGTAAGCTAGAACTGGCTTATTTCCTTGCAAATCATATCAAAAGGTTTTAGGGCTTCTACTGGTGATCCTCCTTTTTTCCCAAATGTCCTTGAGTCACTTCTCAGAGTTAGATGGACAGCATATAAATTAAATTAATTAAATAAATAAAATATATCCTATGTGATTAATTCATGCTATCCTCCTGACACAGGTGTGATGAATGCTATTGCATTGGCTTGGGATAGTTGTATCTTTATTCCTGTCCCAATGTTATCACTAGGTCCCATTCATTTTAGGGGTAGGAATGCTAGGATGTTGGCTTATTAAATTTAGGGACTCTCCTTTCTGTCATCCAAGTTAAATCCACAAATCTGGAAATGCCTCATCAGTTATATCTGAGATTTCCAGGCCTTGGACCTCATAAAATTCTTTCCATAGTAATCCAGAAAAGCAGTTTCCATCCTCATTCTGTCCACTTCTAGTATTTCTCTAATGAATTCCAATAAAACTCTTCAGATGCTGGATAACATTTGACAGGCGAAGTAGGAGGGGAGAAATGGCATAATCAGAATAACATTTCAAGGAGCAGATTAATTATTTGGGCATGACATTAAAGAAAGACTTAATTTATAGGAAAATAGGATTGTAAAATGGAGGAAGAGGAGAAGGGAGATATTGTTTTTAACCAGATTTTCTGCTTTGTAAAATGGAGGAGGAGAAAGATATTGTTTTTGAGTTAAACCAGATTTTCTGCTATGTGGAAGGAATGAGCAAGTAATAACATTTATATAAAACTTATTATGTAGAAATTTGTTCTGCTGGCACAATAAAACTGTCTCCAAAAAGTGAGAGCCAGTTTAGTTTAGTGGATAAGGCACTAGACTAGAAAGTAGTCCTGCCTTAGCCATGAAAGTCAGCTGGATGACCTTGGACTGGTCACCCTCTCTTTCAACCCAGCCCACCTCACAGGATTTGGGGAAAATAAGAGGCAGAAGGTGCGTTAGATATGTTGGCTGCCTTGAGTTAGTTATAAAAATAGCAGCAGAATACAAATAAATAAAGTCCTCTGAATATTGGTAGTGCTAGAAACAAAAAACATTGTAAAAAACAATCCTATTATATGTTACTAGTGTTGAACCTGACTTCTAGAAAATAATTGATACAAATGAAAAAAGCATAATAAAGAACTTTGTTCCCTAACAAAGTTAATACAAGTGGAGAGAATAAACTTCAGTCTTAGGCTGATGCTGATTATGTCAACAATGATATAGTATTTTGAAGATTAAATTCCTGTTTAGGAACTAACATCTCTTTCAAGAGGAAATAGGAAATTTAGCGATGAGCTCTTTAGTTAAGAACACACGTAGATCACTGTATTTTTTCTGTGGGAATGGCCTTATGAGTTGTGATGTAACGGCACAAAGTTTACCATGTTACACCAAAGAAAATCTGTCTGAAACTTCCTAATTGGTCCCATCAGGAATAGTTCATGGTTTAGCTGATATCTGAAAAGAATTTTTATAAAATGCTAGAATAAATGCCTTTGCTTGCTTCAGTTTTCAACATTTACAAAATGGGTATATCAAGAATGTTGCCTCACCATGTGTGTTTCTTAGCTAGATGGCTCTACCTGGCTGATCTTGGGTCAGAAGCTAAGCAGGGCTGAGCTGGGGTAGAATTTAGAGCAGGGGCGTCAAACTCAATTTCATTGAGGGCCGCATAAGGATTGTGGGATCCTTATCACCTTGGGGAGCTGGGGTGGGCGCAGTCAGGGTAGGTGTGGCCAGCTCAATGTCACACATGTCGGGGACGCCTGTGATGGCCCGACCACTCTGCCAGCGAAAATGGACTCCTGAGCTCTGTTTTTGGCTGCAACGGTGTCCTGCAATCCTCTGCCAGCGAAAATGGAGCTCGAGAGTGCCGTACGTGGCCCTTGCAAGCTCCATTTTTAGCTGCAACTGCCTCCTGCAACCCTCTGCCAGCGAAAACTGAGCTACCTCCCGAGCTCTGTTTTCGCTGGCAGAGGCACTGCTGGCCATCCGTTGCTGTTTCAAGGGCAGCCGTGTGCGCTAGATCTAAGTGCCCTGTGGGCCAGATCCGTCCCCAAGGTCTTAAGTTCGACACCCCTGATTTAGAGGGAATTTTGCCAGAGAATCCCAAAATGTAGACTGGGTTGGGAAGCTGAAAAAAATATTTAAGAAGGGAGTGGAAAGGCATTACTGTTGCTGTGGTAAGAAAGTCTTATCTGTAAAATTATCAGGAATTGGGCTCACGACAGAGTCCCTACCTTTTTATAGGAAATTTGTAGGCAAAGATGCTTCTGGTTTTCCCTTTTTTGAGGGGAAAATTAAGACTTTCAAAAAATAAAAAAGTTTTCTTTTGATCACTGTTTTTTTTTTTTTAAATCTATAATGTCTTTTATTTACTTTTCACATATTTCTTAACTGGCAAGGAACAAGAATAAAAGATAACATCCAAGAACAATTTATTTTAGAATTCAGTTATATTTCCCTTTTATTGCTAGATTACTCGAAATTAGAGCTATAACCATTAACATATATATAATTTTTTC